TGTACCAAGTTATGACAATTTTGCATTATACGCAACGCGTATTGTAACAAGTTCTGCAATCAGAAAGATTTCAAAGATCCGCGTGAAAAGAAGCAATTGCTGAGGATCAAATAAACAAAAATGACACACAATCATTGTCGGATTCGTATCTTATAATTTGTAAAATTATAATTTGTCTGCATTTGTATTGAAAGTGACCCGATAAAGGTCCAGATGTTTGTAATAGATTGTTCAATTGTTATTAGTATTAATTATTTAACTTTTGAACGGTAATGTTAAAAAAATTCGTACGTGCATTTATTCATACATATAATATGTACATACGTGTGTACGTACCCGTAAGTACTTAATGTGCATATTCAATTTAATTTAAATTTAAATTAAATTAAATTTAAATTTAAATTAAATTGAATATGCACATTAAGTACTTACGGGTACGTACACACGTATGTACATATTATATGTATGAATAAATGCACGTACGAATTTTTTTAACATTACCGTTCAAAAGTTAAATAATTAATACTAATAACAATTGAACAATCTATTACAAACATCTGGACCTTTATCGGGTCACTTTCAATACAAATGCAGACAAATTATAATTTTACAAATTATAAGATACGAATCCGACAATGATTGTGTGTCATTTTTGTTTATTTGATCCTCAGCAATTGCTTTTTTTCACGCGGATCTTTGAAATCTTTCTGATTGCAGAACTTGTTACAATACGCGTTGCGTATAATGCAAAATTGTCACAACTTGGTACATGTCTGTACATGAATCCGTCAACTGTGTCTTTTATGTTCGAACTAAAATATTGCGTAGAGCACGTATACTTTGAATTGTACCAATATGTAAACAGTATGAGTGAAGAAATTAAATAATTTTTTTACGCCGAAATTTGTATTAGGAAATTCAGTATTGTAAGTACTTTTCACAAAATTTATGATAAAGCTTCTATTATAGAATGTGAATAGTTGGCGCTTTAAATAATATTAAAAACCAACAACTGGTGAGTGAACATTGTTCTTCAAGGGGACACATATATGAACACACAATTATAATATAACATTTCATAATACTATTAATACTTCTATAGTTCTAGCCATGACTGCGTTTCAAGATTGGAGATGACTTTATTTCACAGTTTATAGAATTGTTTAGTGTACTTGTATAAATTCATACTGAAATATTTAAGTAATAAAATCAACTTTGGTTGATTATAAGATTTCATTTACCTAACTGATGGAATTAAAAATTTATTTATCTAATTATAAACATTTTTTTATACGGTTTAGAGCATATACATATGCATACATATATGTATATATCATTCCTTGGTAAAGTTTATTTATAAGAATTTCAAATCAGGAACATAAATCTTTTATAAATAAAATTAATATTTCCTGTAATTAAGGGGGGTAATTAAATTTTATAAGGTACATGTAAAACAAAAAATAAAAAGCATAAAAAA